AAATAAATTCCTAAAAGATTGCAATGAAAGCAACCAAGCAAACGGCATTGAACAACAACAATGAAGAGGAAGAAAAAAGTGCAGTTATTATTTCTCCGGTGTTAAACCAAAAAGAATGTTCAAAATTATTCAAAGTTTCTTACTTTTATTTTCAAATTTTTCTTCTGTACCATAGAAGCCTAATTTGTAGAATAACCCAAATAGCATTTAAAAAAAATGTGTTCCATTTCAATGTCTTTTGCAGCTAAAAACCTAAACGAGGAATATAACATCGCACAAAGCTTTCGTGTTTTTGTATGGTTTCCTTCCATTTTAGAATCTTAGCACGTGAATATTGAAAAAGTAACAGAAACAATGTAGAATCAAGCAGAATGAACGTTTATTACAAAACTGTTCAATCCATTGTACAATATGAACTATCCTCATCAAAATCTTTCATAACAATTCAGTACAACAGACCTCCAGATAGAACCCACCAAAAAAGGTGCTTTTTCTTCAATTAAGATTCTTAACTTTCTGATTTGAGGCACTCAGAATTTCTAACAGCTGACTCGTTATTCGGTTTGCAGCCACAGGATGAAACAAAAAAAAAAATCGTCTAGCCTGTCCCACCAGAGAATGAATATCTTCTATGTAAGGCAACGAAAGTACAGGTAAGTGGAACAGAAAAAATTAAAAGCTATAGAGGACTCCACGGCACCAGGAATGGAAGAATATTCCCCTGATACTATCCTTATATCTGATCTAGCCCTCAAAAACAACACCAGCAAAGTCCTCAACGAACAACCAACAGACTTATTCCACTCTAAACTGCTAAGCAAACAGACTCAACTATCGCACTTATTACCAAGAAATGTGTCTAAAAGACCTCTGGAACATGAGCAAAAAAATCTCTAACTTCCGTGCAAAATGTATCAAACAACTGTTGTCTATCAAAGTTAAAAGTTAAACCTTTATTCTATTACACATAGGTCTATCACTTTTCTGAACTTCTTACAGTTGTTCCTGCCGTTGCGAATAACAACATATATTACTCAACACACCTAGTAAATGACAATGGGTACACAGGGAATAGATCAAGTACAACAAAAAAGACAAAGTAATCCTAGTAAATAAGAACCAATATAACAGCCAGTTCCAAAAAAAAAATTACAGCTTACTCGATAAACACTAAACACTAAACGCTTAACAAAAACAGCTACATAAAAGTATTTTACATATGTCAAACTGCTTTCTCAGTCACTATTTACTATTTTTGTTCACAGTCTGCCACAGTACAGCAAACTGTGGCAAAATACAAGTAGAAGCGCCGATGCTCATAAAATATTTCAAAAAAATGGATTTCGAGAGAATATTCTGCACCTCCACAAGTCAGTTGTAGAAAATAAAAACAAAAAAATATATATATATATATACAAAAAAAAAAAAAAACTAGTTGCATCATAACATATCACGTACAGTCTAATGAATTAAAAAATATACATAATTCTTGAAGATCATCATGAGCAGCAAACCCGTGCTAATAACAAAATTACACATAAACAAAATAACCAAGTAATAGAGAATACACAGCTAGCTCAGTATCAGTATGCAAAAATCATGAGCATAATTCAACTACATAACAAAGTCTTTTACTCATTAAAAACTATTATTATCTTTCTGCTTCCTCGGTTAACAAATTCATCAAAAATATATTCCAGTAAAACTATGGGATCTACTAAATCATCAATGTCCGAAGCAATGACTATACTCAAGTAATAACAGAAACGTATCAATTTTCAACAGAAAAAGATTTATCGTACTAAATATCTTTCATTCCTCAGCGAATCACTAGATGATGACATAGTGCCATAATCACTGGTACCAGAATCTGATCCATTCATCTCGTATTTCTGCAAATAGTTGAACACATTCAAATGATAAAGTTTAAAAATTCTGATCGCCCCAAACTATTTATGATAAACTATACCATTGAAAAGTAAAAACCTAAGAAAACTCTTCTAAACTACTTCGTAGTGTCAAAAAAGAAATCTTTTAAAAAGTTGGAAGACAAATCACATGATGGTTTTTGAAGTCCTTACCAAAATCGCTTTTGTTAGCTTCATCTTAACGCCCATTATAGTAGGTCTGTTATTTATGTTTTCGGCCCAGCATTCTTCCACTTTCAAGCAAACATCTTTTAAAACATTCTAAACGAATCAGTCATTAATTCGTAACATCCGACTCACTCGTATAAATATGGCAAAGTCAAAAGACTGCTTTTTTAATAAATATTACTTTCAAACTGAACCTCATTTAACAAGGATAGCATAACAACCTCACAACACAACTCTTATGCTAAATCACCTTCCTAAGAGAAAAAAACCAAGCAAAATAAAAGACTCTTACATCGTTTTTCATTAATTCATTGAATGAAGGTCGCTTCTTCTCTTCACAAACCAGCTTTCGCATATCTTCCAGTGATGGATCTGAGGGAAATTTATCGTCGTATGGCTGAATTGCTTTTGGTCTTGAAGAGTTGGACTGAAAAAACTAAAGCAGTCAAGTATGCCAAAATAAAAAAAAATCCAAAGGAACTGAAGAATAATTACAGCGTTATCTTGGCTGGAACACGATGGTTGTGAGAGGCGAGATCCAGCAACTAAACGCGAAGTAGCAACGGCTTTGTTGCCACTACCACTAGAACCGTAGCCACTGTCACCAGACGAACCACCGTCAGACGCTTTCAATTCCTGAAAGCTCACAGACTGATGCGACAAGTGAACTGCCAACATTCCACAGATGAACTGATCGATTAAAATCTGTCTCACCTGTAAATGCCACAAAATCTCCCATATAACTAAAGAAAACGAATAAACATCAGCCATTTTAAAATCATAAAAACACTTCGGATTCAATGTTTTATTTAAAATCTCTGGAGCCATGTATCGTTTCGTCCCCACTTGTATTTTAATTTGCTTATCAGCGTTAACATCATCCTCACTAAAACAAATGATTATGAAAATTAAAAAGAGTTTACTTTTGCTCCTTGAAGGTAGCAATTAGAAAGCTTAAATAAAATTTCCACACCTAATAAAGAAACCAAAAGAAATTTTGCAAACCTGACAGCAAGACCAAAATCTGCTATGCAACAAACGCCGGTTCTTTTTACAAGCACATTTTTTGATTTAATGTCTCTGTGAGCAATTGCTGGTTTCACTGGAGCACCCGTACCTCTCAACTTGCTATGCAAATGTTCCAAACCACATGCTGCACTAAAAAATCTTGTTTTTATACTTAATGCCAATAATATCAACCCCTACAACAAACAAGAACAAAAATTAAAACAAACCTTTCGGCCAGTTTGAGAGCTTCCAAAATCGACAAAAATCTGTCACGTTGTAAATACTCATGTAGTGACCCAAGTTCCAAGTAATCCGTGATAAGTAAAAGCCTTGTTATTGAGTCCTCACTGCTAATATCGGCAGCCACAAACTCTGCAAGTTCAATAGATTTCCTTCTTTACTTAGATACCACCAAAGCTTAAAGTAGCAGTGTCAGGAACTGGTGTGGGCTACAGATAATTTAATGTTCACGACTTCGTTACAGATGCTTAGGCGAACCAATGTTTTGGCACCTACTGATTGTGAATAATTCGGTGGTGATGTAAAATCTTGTTTGCTGCCGTTAGAAAGAACATATTCTAGAACTAATAAGAAATGCTTAGTTGTTCTATGGTAACAAGGTCAAAAAGAGAGCATCTTCTAGTTCTAAACCATTAAAATTAACAGCAAAAGCCTTACAAAAGCAAAAACTCACGCAAAATATTTTCATGGTTAATCATTTGTGTTTGGTAAATATCCCTCTCGTTCTTCCACGACTCTTCGTCTTTTGTGAAGAACGACTAAAACAAAAAAAAAAGATTGATTTGTCAAGAGAAATTACGACCTTTACTAAGAGCAATGTAATACGTTACTCTCACCTTCACAGCAACAATCTGATCTCCTTTGTAACGAGCCTTCTTAACCTCACCATACCTACCACAACCAATAGTGTCGATCATCTCAAGACAATGTGCTATAGTTTTTTCGTTCAAACATGCAACACCAGAACCAGAACCACTGCTGCAATTGCTTAGAATTAATTTTTAGTACACTACTGATGAAAAAAAAAAATTCAGAATGTAGGTGAATTAGCACTTACCTCATGCCAGCAAACATTGGTGACTTTTCTGTATAACCATCCGAAGCCAATGATGTCGCATTTTTCAACTGCATTTTCACTTTATCTGACAAAAAAAATGTTGTGAGAAAATTTTCAAATATTTATTTCTCATTAAAAAATGTCTGCTGAGCCAATGAATCAAACCAAATCTTAGAAAAGTGAAACATTTGTCGACTGAAGAATACGCACCAAAATATTTTTTAAGGAGCAGGAACACAAAAAACGAGCACGCAATAACCACCGCTGTCCATATCAAAATAGACATCTTGTTACTGCCTTAAACAGAATTCAATTTAATTGCTGAACCAGCGTAAAACTGATAAACTGACTTAATGAGGAACTTGCGGTACCATATCCCATTTTCAAAAATGTGTAGAATCCTATACTAAATTTACTGATCTTTTAACCCTAAAGTTACATACCACGCTGGTCCTTCAGCAGTAAGGTAGGAAATGTCAAGTTGGCATTACAGTAGCTGCCCTCATAACAGCAATTGATAAACATAGGCACATGATGAGCCACTAGATGAGCGTAGCACTGCAAAAAAAATCATCAAATTTGCGTTTAACACACACAAAAAATACCACAGAACAACTTCTTCCAGCTAATTTTTTAAGCAGAACAAGGAACCAAGAAATAAAACCTATCAGAGACATAATAGTAATTTTAAGAGAGCAACTAACAGTAAAATAAGAGCCACCAGAGCCTTCTGTTAATGGCGCACAACCGTACTTCTCTTCTATAACATAATCACCGACATCGTTATCATAAACCTGAACTGCTTTCACCACTCATTAGGAAACTCGATTAAAGTAAAACGCCGCCACTACTTTTAAAGTTATCAAAGCACCTCAATAATCTATCAACATTCACATAAAAAACATTCCTTTAAAGATCCAAAGTAAGCCCAGTTTTTTGTAAAACGAGGTAACAGTAACCTTTTTTGCAAAGTAGAAGCAAGCAGCTTCTGCAAACTTCATGCAAGTACCATTGTCAAAGCCTCCGCATCCATCAGGTGAATAGTTGCAATAGCACAAATTTCGATCATCCTCGTATTTTGGCGGTAGCTTAAAACAATTAGATATTGTTTTGGTGATAACATGTAAAAAAGGTACTTCTGATCACTGGAAAAGCAGGTAATAATACCTTTCGACGTATTCGCTCCACTGTTGACATACTTAGACTGGCTACAGGCTTCTTCCAAACTTTGGCGTTCTCAGGTACAACAAGATCTTCTTCAGCACTCGAATCATCATCAACGTTTACTTCCGAACGTGCTAAAAAAGAAGGCTCACCTTTGAAATCTTACCGAAAATTAAAACAATTACCATTGTTCGCTCAAATAAGCTACTACATCGATAAATTTCATACGTCTACAAAGAAGTCGGAGCTGCAAAAATGAAAAAATTTTGGCACTTTTGGCAACATTTTCTTTTTCTGACTAAAGTTTTTAATGAAGCAACAAAAACTAACTTCGCTCTAAACGCAAAAGCATAAAGAAACAGTGAAGTGATATGGTCACTTAAACTTTTTAAACAATGGAAATGAAAATCCATTTTGAATTGAAAATTAAAAGAGGACTTTAAGAAAAATTTGTTACCGCTGTCACTTAACAGCTGCGCAGAGTTTAGGTTGAAAAGATTTACAGCAAAGTAGGCGATCACACAGACACGACATAACATATCGGACGTCACGGAAACCGCATTCTCAAAAAATCCAAAAATTTCAGTAGAAGTTACTGGTACCTTTTAGGACAAGCGACCTGACCTACAAACATCGATTACTGACACTACTTCAGAACATGTTCAAAATTAGCTACAGAGTTCATATTGGAAGGGTTGGAAGCACAAAGCTTTTACCGTAGCACATAAGTCTAACGTGTTGAAGTTTAAAATTTCTAAACATTTTGAAAGTCTTTTTGCCTCTTTTCAAAAAACAGTTCAATAGAAAGCCTCTTTTGCCATGTGATCAATGGCCAATGAGCATCTGTTAACACAGCAACAAAAGCGACAATCACTGCCAAACGTATCTATACAATCTTAACAATCCAAAATTCTCTCACTTTGGTAAAATAAAAAACAAAACAGAAGGAGAAGAACAGCAACGGCCTAACTCGTATAATGGCTTAGCGAACACAAAAGAAAGCAAAATTATCGAGATTTAAAGCCAGTTGTCAGTAACGAGGCTTTAAAATTGCTTCTGAGACAGTTGTAATTCAATAATCAAAATTACCGATAACTTAGTGAACACATGATTAGTGATCGAAAATAATTCACAATAACAGTGAGAATTTGCATATTTTAAAGTAGAAAATAAAAAAGTTGATTAGCTAAAACTGTCAAAAGGTTTATCAACGTAATAGTGATCACAGTGACTAACGTTCAGACAAAATCCTCCGCCAGCAGTTAATTAATGCATCCGTTATTGTTTACTAGTGCAGGGAGTGAAGCATATCTGTCACCAGTAGCCGGGTATTTATAGACAGACGGATTAACAGAAAGCTTGAAAGCGAAATAAGCAGAACGCAATGCGCAGTGGCAGCGACGGATCCACAAATACGCAGAGCAAGCAGTGAACAGAAACAACGGGTCGGTGATGCCACACTGTGTGTTTGATAACTGTGAGCAACACAAACAAATTTACGGCGACATAACGGCGCCATATCAACCAGCACTGTACCCATCGTTCCCCCTGATACAGAATTTGCGCGCGTTGTTCAAAGTTAGTCCGTCCCTGAACAATCAAGCTGCTTATCATGTCAGCTAATCTGTTTTCTCGTTAACCATAGCCTTAAGAATGACGATCAACCAGTTTAATGCAGTCAGCAATTGGCTATTGCACTGTTGCAGAAAAATGAGTTAAACGAGACTGTGCCATAATTACCAGCTGTTCCACTTTTGATTTAATGCATACCAGCTTGCCTGCTAAACATTTTGAATGTTCCTTTTGAAATTCTCGTTTTCTTAAGAAGTACAATTTACATGGATGAAAAAAATCCCATTGAATTTTCCAGATTAAACTGGAAATCAGAAACAAATCTGAGCTTTATGCTTTTATTGTGCTTAATTTTTTGTTTATTAAATCAAATTTGAAATAAAAAAATTTTAAAAAATTCAAAAGAATCAGCACTTGATTTAGTCACATTGTTTCACTTTTTTTTTCTTTTGCAAAGTGATGGTTTATTGGTAATACTTTTTAGTGTTGAGAAACGTTAAATATACTGATGAATATTTCCGTACAATGAGTTATGATATAAGTAAATAAAAATCCTAATGATGCGGCATTTTATCGGCACAATGGTTTTTATGACATCAAAAACAGATTTTTGGTTGACTTCTTTTTGATAGATGGCTTGGCGATTAATGAAAACAAATTATCTGGATTGTTTGGATTTGAAGACTGTCAATCATAATTCACCAATAAAAGTGACGGAGATATAATGACGGTGAAACTTTTTTTGCATACCGTTTGTAGAGTCTAAAGTTTTCAATTTTATAAAGGTGTTTTGCAAAATTATAGCTGCTTTCAGTGTATAAAACTGGATATTCATTAAGCATTTAACTACAGTTTTTTGAAATGCAATTAAAAATAAAATATAAATTTAGAGTACTTAGTGGCCTCAGAAAATTTTAAAAGTGTTTTATGGAACTATTGAATTAATTTCTCAAAGTTATTTTCATTTTGTTAACATGCAGGATCCAGAAACCTATAATTTATGCATGTTCTCAAAGAATATTTTCTAAGCTTCATTTAAATAGTGTGTAAATCAGAGTACTAAACCTTAATCTCTTGTTTCCAAGATTCAGAGACAAGTCTCTTTTCCTTCATGACCATGAGAAATTAGGATTTGCTGTACAGTGCTGAAATACTTCTTAACACACACAGATTTTTCACCAAAGATTTTGTTGAAAGACGCATTTATTTACGTACATATTTGAAGCTGAGAGTTATCCACAAAAATGATGCCTTATACTGCCAGCAAAAAAAGACTGAAACTTGTGTGGACTAATACGGTTATTCTCTGCTTCTACAAGTTTGACTTCACTGACTTAATTCACTGTTTCCCGTCAACTTTCCCGGAAGTGCTCAATGAAGACATTAGAATGTGCGTGCTGAGAGCTTGATTCCCTAAATTTGTAGGCCACAAATTTGTCGTGCTTCTAAAACTGCAAAATACCCGTATTGAAAAAGCAAAACGTTGAGACTTTT